ATATATATTAGATTATTCTGTATCCACAAATAGTGCAATGATAATGAAATGCTTTATATAGGATGATTTTTAATTATATATGTTTCAAGGGAAGAATCTAGAGATTGAAACAAGAAAAAAGTTATAAACGTAATTGTTTAAATTTTGTTTATATACATATATGTATATATTATATGACATTTTTTCTGGTTTAAATTCTAAATTCATATCTTGAAAATTAATGTATATAATTAAAAATAACTCATTTTTTCTGTGCTTTATAAATATAATTGTTGCTTCACAAAAGGAAGAGATTATCAAATTATCGTAGCATTTAATATCTATCTACTATTATTATACTATTACTATTATGATTACTATGTTATTATAATTGTTTCTAGACGTAAATAGGGATATGTTAATGTTTATTAGCTTTCTTATATGGCAGTTGCTGCATGGTTAGCACATTCTACAGCTTAAGTGAGATTACATATATCATATTTACAAAATTTAATTGCGAGCGTATTCGTCAAAGTTTTATCTGTGCTGTCATGCAAAATGCATTGTCTGTTCTATTTTACAGGATAAGGAAGGAAAGAAAAAGAGCAGAAACAAAGAAGGTACGGTTGCATTTTTATCAATATAATTGTTTGTTGTATTTCTTATTCATTTTATTTATTACTATTATAATGCTAATATAATATTTCTTTTTCTATTGCTTGCTCGGATATATAAATTTGACATCTGCTTCTAATCATTGTTTGATGGTAGGTATTCTTTATATGCATATACATGCATATAGATATTTACATATATGAATGTGTGTCTATACATACATATACAATACAACATGCATATACAGTAGAATTTATCTACATTCTCCATTTCAAATTTTGTAAAAATAGAATATTTCGTTACAAATACGTAACTGACTCTTATCCACATGGCGTCATATCAGTTCGGATAATAAGAGTACGACTTCAGTTTTCAGAACGTTAGTTTCTATCGAAATAACTAATAAATATTGGTACAACTAGTGAGTCTTTGTTATTCGAACCGTTCGGTTATCGAAATTGTCTAGTCCTTTGATGTGACATATTCGGATAAATGGAATTTTATTTTAACTATGTGTATATGCACACCCACATATAAGATTATATAATACAGTTAGAGTAATTATGTAATTAGAGTACACATTGTTATATTATTGTAATTATTAGAAATAGTTATAATTCAAAATTAATATTATTTGATATAATATTACTTGTCGCTTTTATAGTATTTCTTGATAATCCAATGTTTCTATCTTATTCATGTGTAATAATGCTTTAATACGCGTGATATGTTTTATCAAGATGTATCTCTAAATTTATTATGTATACCTATAGATCACGTTCAGAGATTTGAGGTGTTCTGATATTTACATCTCTCTATTTGTATTTCTCGATAAAGCCAATTTTATTGATAAGCAACGTATTGAAGAGTTTCACAGTCATAATCTTTCATTGTTATATGGTTGTGCATTTTGAACGTGTACATCGTTTGTCGTGCTTATACGTAAATTAGATAAATTTAATAAAAAATACATATACGTATATGTATATATATATATATATATACATATATGTAAATAAAATAAAATAAATTAAATACGATATAATTTCTATATTAATAATATCAGAAATGAAAAACGTAGTCGCGAGAATAGCAAGATTATAAAAATTTTATAATTTTATTGAATCATAAAATTATATTTTTATGCAATATGAAGATATTAACTGAAGATCCAAACAAAATAGGACAAAAGGATCCATTATTGGATACTATTATCATGTCGTCTGTTGAACTACCTCTATGTTCTTCCAAGCACTTAGCCGCCTTTGGCACACTACTTCATGATACACGTGGGCTCAAAAATCCTAAATGGTACGTGTCTGTGCCTCTTTCAGACTTGTTGGATGATCCATCAGTGTTGATCGAAGGTGTCCTGTTCCGTGCGAGGTACTTAGGATCCACGCAATTAGTATGCGAAGGTCAACCGACGAAGTCTACCCGCATGTGTCAAGCAGAGGAAGCCGTTTCCAGAATAAAGGTACATATGTATATGAAACATTTCTTTTTATTTTTATCTCAGAATTGAGATATATTCTTCTTGAATTGGTATTAACCAAACGTCAATTGCGAAAAATGTGTATATACGATTATATACAACTATATGTATATAAAAGCACAATTTCTATATATGTATATATACATATACGTATATATATATATATATGTTTATGTATAATACTTATCTCATATACAAATGAAACGAGTATATGAGGACTTCTTATACAGATTTTTTATATAGATTTTTTATAAAGAATTTTGCGAAGCGTTAAAAAATCAATATAATCAAATATGGAGTACATAAATCGATGTAATTCATTTGAAAGCCACATGTATTATATTTTTAGAATGTTTGTTCTTAAAAGCAGTAACTATTAATTAAATGAAGATATCGCGATTTATTTGTTAGATAATGCATCCACGTGATATGTTGTGTTATATTTAGATCAGTAGCACTAAGTTTGGAAAACACATTATATAGATAATAAAACAAATACAATTAGAGTCCATTCGTCGAGTAAATGTTTCAATTGTTGATTTTTCAATAATATTCTATTAAAACGAAAATCGAAAACGTTAGAAAATCTATTAGAGAGTATAAAATCGGAATTCAGGGACTATTAGAATTAAACTATGAACAATAATAACGAAATTAGCAGCATGCTCTGAATGCTTTATACTATTTTAATTTGCTACTTAAATTGTAGTGAACAACAGTGCAATATTCTCATCTGCAATAATGTATATTTCATTGTTAAAGTTTTTAACTTTTTGAGGATTTTCAAAATTGCAATTTTTTTCTTGGTGCAATCACGAAATATAATCTCTGTAAAATATTGCAAATAACATCTATAATATTTGCAAGGGATTTTTAGATTAGCGCCTCTTTACCAAGTATAAAATAAATTTTAGTATTATATATTATTTTGAAACCATTAATTTACCTCAAATGGTTAAAATGCTGAAATCTTAAGTAAATAAGTTAAACCTGAGAGTTTTCAGTAGGAAAGAGTACTGTTCAAATTGTATCTTAAGACTCGTTTATACCTCAATTCTATGCATATATGACAAATATGTTGCAAAAGGACCATAGATAGATTCATCAAAATACTCTCTTTAGTAAATAGTACAGATACCTACCATATTTCTGTTTACATAGTCCATATTTTTATTGGTATATTAATAGTAAGCGATGACGTTTCTTTTTTAATTAGTTTTTATAGTTTATGATACTTATCAATCTTTTAAGGAAACTGTCAATATTAAGCTAATAAAACAGTAAATTCTTTCCTCTTACTCTTAGGTTCTGCTCATGAGTAATGAAATGTCAGCATTTAGATAAGATAGACCTCGTCTCTGTTATCTTGTAATAATTGATTAATAATTTTTATTAGCGGTTTTTTATCGTTGTCTGAGATGACTCTCCCCCATAGAAGTATCTAAATGCTGATTTTATCTACCTATCTAATAATTAATCTAAATATAACTGTGAACTGGCCGTTGTGCAAAGAGGCCTGAATGTTTCAGTGTAGCGACCCCCTTCCTCACATCACCAACACCACCACCACCTGACCACCGAACACTGTCATCTTCTCAGTGTAACTTTGATGTGATTTCTGTATGTCAGTCTTTGTTTTTTTTCCTTTGCGAATATTTAATTTATATATCTGTTGTCCGCTTGCTATGTCCGCTTTCCTGTAGATTCTTGATCAACTTTACGCACAAAAAATCCATATTACTCGCGGGAGGTATTTATCTACAAAAATCCAGCAAATTATTATACAACTGATCAGTAGAAAGGAAGAAAACTGGGAATGCGTGAAACAATCTAGGTGCAATGTAACAGACGGCTCTGTTTGAGACAAATTTTAGGGAAATTACAAGAAATTTCATAGAATATTCTTCATAACTTCAAGCTTTAAAGAGATATGATTATATCGAATCGATAGCCCGATGATACTACGATATTCTGACAGTATCCTACAAGATTGAGCGTAATTAGTTATTTATATACATATTCGTTCATTTAATTTTATTTTTCAAAAGATTGCTAAATATTTTTTTATGATATATTATTGTCGCATGAAATGAAATCTTATGTAGTTAACCGGATAGACCCGGATTGCAGTTCTTTTTTTGTCGCTGCAAGAATATTTTAGTTACATACTATTCGGGAATCAAGATAGAAATTATATTTTCAAGGAATATCCGTTGTGAAAGTCTATTATGAAAATATTATAGTTTATTTAAAAAATGATGATATTAAAATTTACAGGAATTATAATATTAATTAATTCTTTGAATAGTATGCATGATAATTTGTTTAATTGCAAGGTTGCTAAGCTATGTTCTAATATAGGCAGTGTAAATAATTACAGAACATTAAAGATGAAGACGTTTCTAGTCAGTTAAAATTTTTTGGCGATTATATCTAATTAAATTACGTTATGTGTCGATGTAGCTTTTTAATAAAGCCGTATTAAAACTCGTGCTTACGTATTATACTTTTAAATAACGCCCCAAAAGAACTTTACTTATGCTTACGTCTTTATATTTGTTTGAAAAGATATTTTGAATCGAAATTAATTATGGTTACGGAAAATAATAATTCTATGTGTGCATAGTCTATCAACTGCTTGTATTTCTCTTTGATTGTTCATTTTCAAGATGGCAAAATAAAACAAATTGATTGATTGAAAAAACTTGAATGCTCATCGCATTAACAGAGCCTTACCGTGCTTCGAGTTCTGAGTTGCTAGACACCTAGAGACGCAGCATCGCTATTATTAATAAGTTCTTGAATTACAGTTGCAACGAATCCGCGTGTGCTTGTTCGTTGAATTTACCATTTTTGTAACATAACGCTTGCACGTTGCACAGCTTCCAGACACCATGAGCTTGTCCGAAAGCAAAATTGCATAATAAAGGTCGCATCGTGTGCAGAAATGTATGCTACCGGACTAATGCATTTATATGTGTGAATGACTCGATCCGGCATACGATAGAAGACACAATGCATGACACTGTGCATAAGAGAAAAGTAAAGCCGTTGATATAGCAACTCAAGAACTCATGAACATTGGCTCTTTTGCCTCTCGTTCTGTCGGTGGTGCGTGGCAATGTGACTAGCAGAGCCTTTGTTTGTTTGTTTGTTTGGCGCGTACATAACGGAAGGATGATGGGCCAGTGCCGATGCAGGCAACACTCTTAAACTATGGGGGGCAGCATGGGTATGGTCGCTGCAGCATTGCCTCGCAAGGAAGCCTAGAGGAGGACGAGTGCGACTCGAGCGAAGAACTTATAGGAAGCGCTTCTGGTGGGGGCCAGTCCGAGTCACAAGCGCTTGGGGCCCAGCCGAAACTGGCCCCGATCAGTGGCTGCTTGGGGCCCACAACCGTTTTCAGACTACAGTTTCTTGGGTCGGTGGAGGTGGAAGAGGAAGGGGGACGTAAACGGCGTAAGCGCCTTAAGAACCACATGGTGGAGGAGGCTGTGACAAAAATAAAGGTCCGCCCTCATTGCCCTTCATCCCAGTGAACCCTCTTCGCTGTTAAATCCGATCGACTGCCCTTTGACTCTTACAAGAGCAGTCGTTCGACCGTTTCATCCCTCTATTGATTTATATAATACCTATAAGGGTCAAATCTTCTTACGGCCATTTCATCTTACAACTTGAACCCTTTTACGAATTTTATTTTATTCAGCCACAAAACCCACAGCAATTTCCCATAATGCACTTTTCAGTTATCACACTCGTATTACCTACGTATAATGCACATTCTTCATAAATCATAGCGACGAGTCTCTTGCAAGTTAAATGTTGCGTCAAAGTTAGGCGACTTTTAACTCTCAAACTCTCAGGTTTGTGATAGCGCCGTTAATGATTATGCTCAACTTTATACAGTTTACATTATCTTGCATTATTTAATTATTTTACTAGCAGTTAAGCGTTGTATATGTTTAAAACACTAATACTTAATTATACGTATATATTTATAACTAATTACTTGTTTATCTCTCTACTTTGTCACACATGCTGCTTCCTTATGATAGGCGCTGGTACGTATATTCTATGTGTGAAATACATATATATGACGTAGAAATCCGTAGTAATGTAATAGTTTTATAAAAAGGATGTGTATGTGTGTTGTATTTATTCAGGCACCGGACGGTGACACTCAGCCAAGCACGGAGGTAGATCTGTTTATATCAACGGAGAAGATCATGGTTCTTAACACCGATCTAAAGGAGATCATGATGGATCATGCGTTACGTACGATTTCATACATAGCGGATATCGGTGATCTGGTAGTGCTAATGGCACGGCGACGTTTCGTGCCGCACGAAATGGAAGAAGTACCAAAAATCAATCGAACTCCAAAGATGATATGTCACGTTTTTGAAAGTGAGGAGGCTCAATTTATAGCACAAAGTATTGGACAAGCATTCCAAGTAGCTTACATGGAGTTCCTAAAAGCAAATGGGATAGAGGATCATAGCTTTGTTAAGGAAATGGATTACCAAGAGGTGCTCAATTCGCAGGAGATATTCGGCGACGAGCTGCAAATGTTCGCAAAGAAGGAGATGCAGAAAGAGGTAATCTTTGAAATATGATATTAGAAAATGGTATTACCCTTTTCATTTTAATCCAAAAGGAATACGGTCTACGGTACATAGCGGTCCAGAGAAGCTGTACAAGAAAGATACTTTCTTGTCGATTAGCCGCGAACTTGTTGGAAGTATCAGTTTCTCATGAGTTTCTCAAAATTAAATTAATTTCCCCAATTTCAACAAGAGATGTAAAATGTTAATTATCGCGACCGACTTAAAGAAAATTTCGTAATTGTATTAGAGTAAAGAATGTCTCTGCTTTGCAGGTAGTGGTACCGAAAGCAAAGGGAGAAATCCTCGGTGTTGTGATCGTTGAGTCCGGATGGGGCTCGATGCTGCCAACCGTAGTCATAGCAAATTTGGCACCGGCCGGTGCCGCCGCACGTTGCGGTCAACTTAACATCGGTGATCAGATAATAGCGATTAACGGCGTATCGTTAGTCGGCTTGCCTTTGTCCACGTGTCAGACTTATATAAAAAATTCAAAGAATCAAACGGTCGTCAAGCTAACTGTCGTGCCGTGTGCACCTGTAGTCGAAGTGAAAATCAAGAGACCCGACACGAAATATCAGTTAGGATTTAGTGTACAGAACGGAGTGATATGTAGTCTATTGAGAGGTGGTATCGCCGAGCGGGGCGGAGTACGAGTGGGACATAGGATAATTGAAATCAATAATCAGAGTGTTGTTGCTGTACCGCACGAAAAGATTGTTAATCTTCTGGCTACGTCAGTGGGAGAGGTATGTAAGCGTGTAAAACTAAAATATGGCTTTTAATGTGTGTTTTTTATTTGAAAGAACAATATTAGAAAGTATGATTAAATGTATAAGAAATAAAAGGATTTTTTTTTTTCTAGATTTTGATGAAAACGATGCCCACATCGATGTTTAGGCTGTTGACCGGCCAGGAGTCTCCGGTGTACATATAAAAAGCGTTCAGTTGCCTGGCTGATGCGTAGTGAACAGACAATACATCCACCATCCACTACCATACTATCCGCTACCTTTATTGTACAGGTTATTCTATGCAAATCGCTTTGTGTTTTCGATTCTTATGGGACGATTCGATACATTCACCAGCTCCTGCTTAGTAAACGAGACCTACATAGGTACGTCGCAGAAACGTTACTAAATATCTACTCAAGCATAATTTATATGATTATCAATTATTGTAAGAGATATACGTATAGTACTTATCAATGAGATTCTCTATAACACATATGTTCCCTGAAATCTTGCGAGCTATTGTTTCAATAACGATCAATGCATTACGTCAATGCTACCGATTTATCGTCTAAGCGGTGTAAAAATTATGGCGAAATTGCCGCAATTAGGCGATCAGGCATTTTATTTGTTACGAGTCTAGCGAAACGATAGGGGAAAAAAATATTGATTTTCAGTACACAACAAGTGGATGTTACAGAGAATCGCATTATTCGCGCCAAGAAAGATAGGTGATGCAAATGAGGCAATTGCACATGATTATAAATAGCACAAAGCTCTTTACCAACAGCTGGAGCAGGGCTGGAACTGTATATTACGTAGTTTAATGACGTAGTAATATTTATAAAAAGGATCTCCCTCTATCTCTCATGGAGACACTTTAAGCTAAAGCGTTTATTTAATCTTTTTTATCTTTAAGGCCGGCGAATACTTGCGGCGCGATGCCCGAGTATATTAATTTGTACTAAAATTATTATCTACTGTAGTAACTTCGGACGCGTAAATCTCGTGATAAATAACGCCATAGTAATTATATAGAAGAGCACATTAACGTATTCGTACTGAGGAATGTTTAAACGAGAGGAATTTTTTAAACGAGTAAATTATAATATGTTTTGCAATACATTTAGCTGATTTTCGGTAAAAGATATAATAAATTGCGTATCATTGAATACACGAAAATGTCATTGGCCAAAAATGTTGATTCAACATCATGTATGCCTACATATCGCTTTATCGATGCCTATATTCTATGGTATAATACTCATTTGTATCGAAAATGAAATTGTAACGCAACATGTTTACAGCGCGATATTATTTTTCAAAGGAAATATTTAAAGTTTACCCGCAATTTAGATAGTCGTTTATGAAATATAATGCGAAGGATTTTCATTTAAAAATCCTTCACATTATGTTTCATAAACGACTATCTAAATTGCGGGTAAACTTTAAATATTTATTATGGAAATTGTATACTTACGGATATCGTAATATTTGAAGCAAACAATACTTAAAACCTTTTTTTATTGCCTATTTTTCTCACCAGTTATCGCTCGTAAAAAAATAGGCAATTAAAAAAAATTTTAAGTTTTATTTGCTTCGAAGATCACGATATCAGAAAGTGCACAATTTCCTAATAAATATTAAAAATTAGTTTTTTTGTATTTATTTATTTCTTTTTTATATGCGCGCGTATGTGTGTGTATGAGGTGTGCGTGTGAGATTTAATTTTTATTTCTTGTGGATGATAATCAACCGTAAAAACTTGCAAAAGTCATCTTGTTCCCAGTATGTCACATTAATCGTTCGCTTTTTCGATCACATGTTGATAAATGTTGAGAAATGGCTGTGTATTTAAGAGTCTACATTTTATAGACATAAGATCGCACTCGATGTAGGCACTTTAGAGTAGATGTCTTTAAACTTTTCAACACTTTACTCTAGATCTCTCTTGATATTTTATAAATTCTCTACTTATTTTAATAGAGATTTAATATCATCTTCCTCGAATTCTTTATTTTAATTATAAATCTTTAACTTAAAAAAAAATATATTTTTTTTCATAGTACGAGTTGTTCAAAGTATCATGCCGATTTTTTAAATAGTTATCGATTAGATATCTACACATATTTCGGAATTTTCTCATCGCGATTCCAAAGCAATCTCAATTTAGAAAATAATATTTTAAGTGCTCTCATTTTATTTTGCAGATTTCTATAAAAGAGTGATAAAAACACTTAAAAATCTTTCTCTCGATCTATTCCTATCAATCTACTTTATCGATCTAATTTTGTAGAATAAGAATATTCTTTTTAATTCAATTCTCCGCGTCCGTACAAATTTAGTTCATAAAGATAGTCCTGATATTAATCGTAAAAAGGCTTTTAAACGACACCTTATCAGCTTGCAGTAAGTCTTCACTCACCATGTATAATACTTACATGTAAAATATGTAAATTGTACTCGACTTAATGTGGCTTCACTGCATATAGGCATACAAATGAGACATCTAGCTTTTCCCAACTCTTGTAACTCTTCTTGTCAATGGAAAGTTTCTTCTGAAATGTAACAGACTGACTCACTTCTATGTATAACCCAATAAGATAAACATTATTGATTCCAGAGAAATGTAACTCTGGAGAAATGTTACTGCTAAAAAAAAGGGAAGAAAACGTCTCTTCTATATAAATACTATATGCCATAATAATCTAAGTTTTATCTATTTTTGCTGAAGATTTCTCACCTTTGAGCTATTCTGCTTTAAATATCAAGAAGTGACGAACTTTGAGATTCCTGATGTCTGATAAAATTTCAATGCCAAAGTACATTAATTAGTGAGGCGTAACAACGGGACAGCTTCGACGAACTGAAAATTATTCAGATTTTGTCAGAGAATGTGTAATTATTTAAGGAATGACGTATCCTAATTTGTTGAAAGTTAAGCTTGTATTGTCTTCACTTCTGACATCATTCAGATACAGGGCATTTAAAGAGAAAGCGTTCATAGGATTAAGTAGGATATTTAAATAAATATTATGCAAAATAACATGTAATAAACATAAAGAAAATTATCTTTTCGAAGATGATTCAAATTAGGTTACGCTCGACATTCAAATCGAGAATTGTTTTTATTTATAAAATAATCAAAATTGCGAGACATGTTAATTAAACATCTTTCACTTAATGAATACGCTCTCCAAAAAACCATGAACTTTTCTTTTTTAAACTGCCCGTATAAATCATAGAATTTATGTTCACATAAATATGATAAGTATCATAACATATTGTAAAAAGTCATACGTAAATTTGTTTAAATAATGAGAAACGATAGTTTTATAACAAATAAACTAAAATTTAATTTCAGAAACATGTGTTATGGGCATATTTTGGCTTTGTATACATAACGAACATGAATTCTTCGTATCTGAATTTAAGCCAATCCTTCAATTATACTGATATTTTCTAAGATCTCTTATTTGCTATAGACGTGATATTTCCTATGGGACAATGCTCTGTGAGACGCGTGGATAAAGAATATGTATATACAATTTTTTCGTTGTCTATAATACTTAATGATGTAAAAGCGGAAGTAAGGCACAATGCCGTAAATTGTTGCGCACAGAAAGTCTCGTGAGGATAGTTACGTGAGAAATATCACAAAATATATATAATATATATAAATATATAAATAATTCTCCATTACTTCATTGAGGAAGGTGTAGCGAAGTATATTACGATATTGCATATCATGGGCAACCGATATATCAGTGTGGAGACCTTCATTCATTACGGACAAATATCTAAACAAATATGCAGAAAGTATTATCTTTTGCCGGAATCACCAGAGTCTAAGAGAATAAATTGACTACGTGATATACGTTAGAGAAATGAATTTTGGCATAGAAATTTTAACCATATATTCGATGAGTAACACAGAGCGGTATGAATATAATATATGGGATCAAACAAGATGTGTTATATATTGGGTGGCTGAAACTTATCTAGTCATTACGCTAAGAATAAGATAAATATATATATATAAATATAAATAAAGAAAAGTATATATATATATATATATACATAATAAATTAATACTCAGCCATCGCAAGCCACCCTGACTGAATGTGTCTAGCTACATTTTAATAATAACATCTGCAATTCTTATACTATCAACCTGGCCTTGCGTGGTCATTACTTGTATGTTCGTTAGAGATGAAATCTGATATTATTAAATCATCATTATTATACAGTCTTCGTTGACTCAAATTTTATATTAAAAAAACAAGATTAGATTTTTTTTATCTTAATAACTTAAAGGCATATAAGTTATTAAAGTATGGCTTATTAAAGTATTTACGAGCTTAAATTAACCTTTATCCTACTAGGTACAATTTGGTGCCTCATCCATATTAACGGGGGCGACTAGAATCGGTCCGTTTTTTTCACCTATTCAGAATGATTTAAAAAATCTCTAAAAATTCACCAACATACTTTCAACTTTCTAGAATAAATATTGGCACTTTATTTTGGAAAATAATAAAATGTAGTATAATTTATAATTGCCGAAAGACGCAAAGAAAGTTGCACGAACAGGAATCGTTCGGTAATTAATGACCTCCTTTAGTAGGGTAAGAGTAAATATAATTAATATAAGCTCATTTGATATTATTTGTTCGATATTCTATTAATCTTCTTCACTCTAAATTCGTTTTCTATAGAATTCTTTTTAGATTTTCTACGATTGTTGGTAAATTATATTATATATGAACGAATGCGAAGAGGTCTAGTAAACTTGTTCCGTTTATAAATTTAAATAAGCATACAGTTTGTTGAAATAAGATTTCGTCGTGTAATTATTTCCAAGCGTTACAAGACATTTGCGTCAACACTCGTTCTTTTTAACGAGGACATTAGCGAATGTCTAATTTATGGAATATTTCGCTGATGACAAAGCGTGTTTTGCATCATCGAGCCTTACAAAATGAAAAATGATGATCGTGCAAAGTCAGTATGAATGGTAGAAAAAAATTCCAAAATTGCAGTCAGAATCAGAATCGTTATGAAGTAATTGAGAGAAAGAACCCAGCTATTCATGATAAATAAAAATAATTATATCTTACACACATATATAGAGCTTGCGCTGTAGCTTCACCAGTCATGAGACATGCTACAAGATATCATGACTGTCTTTATCAATGTTTGTGAGTGTATAATAAGTTATAAACTATAAGTGAGCTATTGAATGTGTATATGGTATATGCTAGTCCATATTAAGATACAATAAAATGTAATTTTGAATTCAAATTCAGACGCAGTTGTCTGTTACTTTGAAGTAAGTACGACGTATCGATGAAAACGATATAGCTTTTTCTCAATTTTTCTTTTCTCTCTTAAAGGCTTTATTTCTTCAAAATATTCCACATGACATGTGAAGCAATGAGGTATATACATCATGAAGCGTTCATAAAAGCGGTCTAAAATTATCTAAACTATTAATATCGTGAAAAGTAGAAGCACCTCCGATAAGCCACTCCTTTCCTTCTAAAATGTCCTAACGAGATTCTTTATATCCATTTTAGCACCGCGTTGATGTTGACAAGGACATTAATACACCTTGTACAGGAATATAAAATGACACTATTTAAGTCTATATGTATGCTTATAAAAAAGAAGTCAGTTTTTTTAATCATTTTTTTTCGGTTAGTACTTTATCCTTATATTATATAGCTTCCATGATCTATTACTAATCAATAATATAGAAGTTTAATTAAAATGAAATTTTACTTTGTAAATTTTATCGTGTATGTTAATATATTTTAGTAAAGCAATAATTAAACAAACATAAAAGAGAGCATTAACATACATGAAATACATGAAATACGTGATTAATTGCTCAATCAAATGTACACTGATATTTAATTTTTTTTATTCCTAATTAGTAATTTATGTACGTTATTTCACGATAGCTTTTGGAAAAAATTTACCGTACCGCACTGGCACAACGTGATACAATAGAATAATTATTTTATATATCCCAAACTCTTAATAATAATTTCTTTATTATTGCAGATTATCTACAATTGTTTTAACCTATTCCCGTGTCCTTAAATTACAAAACCTCTCTGTTGTAATAATTATTTAAAAAAAAAAGTATCATTAATGCAATATCCCCATTTTATGTATGCTCATATACTAACTGGTTGTACTTTTTCTCACATTAGATACAATTACGTTAACTGCAACGTATGTTAGGTATAAACCAGTGACATTTTTATTAAGCCGATTATATCAATATTAATATTAATTTATTGAGCCAATGCATTATAATTATGTTAGATATTTCTATTAATATATATACTATATTCCTTTGCCACCGTTTTGTTACAAAGATATTGTTTCTACTATTTCTCTATTCATTTAATTACATGGTGTGCAATATATGCAAATTTAATTTTTTTTTTGCGTATGTTCAATTCATGTTACAATCGTTAATTTTACTTATCAAATGGAAAATATTTATGTATATATATAATTATATTTTACATTGTCTCCTTCAAATAAGCAGTCACCATAAAACAATTTTTTTTCTATATATTTTAATTGGATTAATTTTCACTACGTTAAAATTTATTGTATAGTTATAGATATCTTAATGAATAGAATTTATTCATTGTGAGGTACAATAAAGAATTTTTCTATTCCTCTTACTTATATTTACATTTTAAGCAATTAATTGGCAATTATTACTAACATAATGGAAGATTTCTATTCACTTCAACTTTTCCGAGCACAAATCAAATGTATCCGCGAATATATTTTTTATTAAGAAAATTAAAAAATCTTTGCGATAATCTATACCTTGCAATAAAATATTAATTTAATTTAGTTTATTGCGAAGCTATGAAAAAGACTACATGTAAAATAATTGTAGATGTTGAAAAACGCTTAAGTTTACACAGATTAAAAATGTTTTCGGATTTTTTAAAATATATTATCTATAAAACATGTGAGATAAACAATAGTTATTATTGATCGATCGTATTATTCTCTACTCTACGTATGCAAGGATACTTAAATCTATGGTGTATTAGACAGAGACAACCAGTTAGCATACATAATAAATTTGTTTCAAAGAAAAGAATTCGTATGTCAAAACAAAGATCTTTCAATTTCATTTTTTAATAATACATTAGGAAGAAAAAGAAGTTGCAAATTGCACTAGTTTCATAGCAATATATTGAAAGAATTTTATGTCGCATACTTTTCCTTAACATAATTTCAAACTTAATAACAAATCTCACCGTGGTTTTTCACACACAGAGAGAGATTTCCTCTTGCAGATACGCAACGTTAATATAGGAAGATATTTACGAAGTTTTCTTAATGAGCGATTGAATAAATTCAACAGTGCTTTGCATTTCCCCCACGATATAGAAAATATCCATTCTGTTTTACTCTTACAAAACTTTTATTATTTTTATAGCAAAATTGTGGACACAGGTGCCGGATACGCAGTTGGTGCAGATAAGGTGACGAAAAGTCTGGGAAAAGTAGGAGTAACGTCGCTTTGCTTCGTCGTGGGCGATTTGACAAGGCTGAGATCAGTTGTCCATAGCGTATCTTCGAGTCCATTCTTTGGCATTACGTATCGCTTCGCTCTCATTGACTTTCCAAAGATCAGCTACATCGTTTGCCAACGGATCGTCGGGATTCGGTGCGCTCAAAAGCGCCTGTATAGACAGCAAAACTGTTCTAATTTGAAGCGCTGGACTCCACTTGTCCTTGAGGATATCCAGGCAAATCCTGCCCAATCTATAAATAAATAGAGGTAAATTATATTAAAGCGTTACAACGTACTGAAACAGTAGATTACCCGCTTTTATCATTTTTATCTTAATTGCTCAATTGATTAAATGCAAATGTACACGTTTTGACGATAATTTATCATTGAAAAGATCCATGTCTGTCAAGAAAGATATTTTGCATTTTTTTCGATACGAAACATAAGAAATGTTAGAAACAATTGGATAAAAGCAAAAGTTGCGAGTTTTTGATAACCAAGATAGACATATCACATTTTCAATCTTTACCTGTCTATATTTGGATGATATATTTTTGTTATAAACCTAACTTTCGGTGCAGACATTGGATAATCTTCTGGTAGGAACAATTCGAGCTTAAATAATCCACCTTCGAATGGCGAATCTTCAGGTCCCGTTACTATTACATGAAAATATCTAGCATTTGTATCATCTGGCACTGCACTGATACCAGGAACTGGTTCTTGCATTAATCTTTGAGTTTCTTTAATGATCCTTCGTGGTAACGCTGCCATTGTTTATGCAAAAATCTGTGAAGAAAAGAAATTTCCAAGATTACTAAAGATCATTCTTACATATAAAATATTATAATACATTATAAAATATTATAATACATTAAATTAAAATTTTAAAATTTATTTAAAATTAACTTTGAAAAGTCTTCAACATTATTTCTCACTCTCAAAGCTTTACTTAAAAAAGAATTCCTTTATTTTACAACTTTTAAAGTTTACAAAATTCACGTAAGTGAAATGAAAGAGTTTCTCTGTATTTTCCTTTCCACCTGTCTTTTTTTTTTTTTGTACAAATATATAATTTTTAATGCGAATTTTAATCAAACGATTTGATGTTGCAATGAATTGTATTTTATGCTGCGCTAGAACTTTAATGAAACGCTTGTACACGCGTTCGCACAAAAATTGTCATTAATAAACGTAATTTTTTTCTTTGTTACAAAACCGTCTCATATTAAATCACAAGACCAAAGAACAACAGACGCGCCGATGTGAAAATCGTCCCGAACCATCTCGTCAGCATCTCTCGCCTACCGTCGGGAGAACTTCTCTCTTTCTCTCTCTCTCCCGCCCTTTCTACACAAAACACAATGCTGGTCGTCAAACGATCGTTTCGCATTGCGATTTACAAACCGGATATCCTGACATGTATTGAAGAGGCGGAGGATCGATAATCTTTCTTTCGCGAGTAACTCGTAGACAGGGAAACGGACGTACGGCGATCGGCTACGAATTGACAGCGTTGACAGTTCTGCCACACAGAAGGAGCACGTACGCACACGTACACTCGCGTGTGTATGTATGTGTGTGTATGTGTGTGTGTATACATATATATATATATGCGCGCGAGCAAAGAGGTAAGCATGTGTGTCGCGCAGGTCCACGGTATTCGTTATAAACTGTCGAGGACGAGACGTCGGGAGACCGCGAGAACGTGAAATCCTTTCGGGGACGTCACGGAATATAAACGAACGCGCGATAAATTTTGGGGGGTAGGGAGGGGTGGGGAGCAAATTGGAGCAAAATCCGAGGAGCGTTTTTCGCGCGAGCGAGAGAGAAAGAGAGACAGGAGTGAGGAGCACATGAATCGCGCGCATCCGATTGCATAAACAAAGGGTGCGAGTGTGACGTCGCGCAGCGATCCATTCGGTAAATTCGATCGTTCCGGCTGGTCATTATCGGCGCCCGAACGGACGTATAAGCGTACAGAGCTGAGTATATTAGCGGCCGGCTGATGCAGGCTGATGTGTACTACCAATTTGCAAATCGCTCGCCGGATACGTACGGTTATTTCCTACGTAAGAAACTCACGCGAGTCCTCTGGCAGTTTTTTTTCTTCTCGCAACCGCCTCTCTCTCGGCGCCCTATATTCTCCTAGAAACCTAGACTTCGAATCGTCGTCGTCAAACACTCGTCCTTCTGGTTAATCGTCGTCGCTGCCGCGGCCGCCACCGCCGCCGTCGGCTGTCGTCAACCTCGCAGCCGACTTTCCGGGGGGAAGGTAGAGAAGGGGGGGGGAGAGAAGGGGGTTGAGACCCCAACCGGCCGGTGATCCACGGGTGCGTGGCCCGCGGAATACTCCGATTGTAATTTAATTTCCACCCGTGCGTGGACGTGATACCCGTAGACGGCTGGTGGTTGGTCGGCTCTAGATTGTGAACTTGATCGGTTGACCCTTCACAGTCGCCTCTCGCGATTCATTTTATCACGCTACTTGATGGCGCTGCTTGCTCTCTCTTTCTCTCTCTCTCTCTCGTTCTTCCGTTCGTTGATCCGTTTGCCCGTTTGTCTCTCACTCGCAGATACTTGTTATCTACTCGCGCGCACAAGTCAGATCGTCGTTCAGAACGTGATACACTCCTCGTCGATATCCTTTATTCATCCGTTATCTCGAAGAGCGTCACCGAACGAACGAGCTACGAAACCATGAAATCACGAGAAGCTAGAGTGCGATGAGAGCGCGCGTTGACGAGACGGTGCGTTTTCCGAGAGTACGAGTTACATAGATGGCAAACTGAGCAGTGAGCGCTATCATTGGCTGCGTTCAGCAAAAAAAAAAGCAGCTTTGCAATTGGTTGTAAAATTCTTTAATATGATTGGTCTTGCCCTTAATTTCTCACTGGATCTAAATGTATAAACCAATCGTATCTAAGAATTTTATAACAGTTGCAAATCTGCTTTCTCTGCTGAACGCAGCGATATACGTAAACTTATTTATTCGTTTTTTTTTTATTGCTGATCCAGATAGAGGATTCGATGCAATCAGAATAATCTATTATAATAACTTTAATTCAGCGTATTAATATTGCAAATGATACATGAGATATACGAACAATGTCGTTGAATCTGCCGCTTAAATGTCAAATTTAAAATTGTTGCCCTAAAGGCTTAAACACAATAGGCACAGGCAACAAGGATTGACGAGCCATCCAATCAGAACTCTGGGATATAATATCAAACTTACATATCAGAGATTCTGATTGAATGGCTTGTTATTCCCTGTTGCCTGTGCCTGTTGTGTTTAAGCCTGAATAATTTTACGACAAAAGTCGACACGTGATGTTTTTTCGTTGCTGAAATGGTCAGTTTGAGCAACTCGTGAAAATGCACCTTTATAGCGACATAGCGACATAACCTTTTTCATAACACATGATGAGACTAATTGCTTTTTATGATCACTCCAACAAAAATATTTTCTACATATTAACATAAAATGTTTAACTGTCTCACACATTATTTTCGTTAGTGTTACAGATTGCATCGATATCACATCGGGAAGTATAATAAAAGAAGAAAAAGTGAAGACATTGAAATAAATTTGTTACACCATCTATTTATTGATAAGAAACCATGAGAAATCTAACGATTCGTCAAGTAAATAGTAGAAATCTCACATTTATGGAAAACATAAAAACTAATCAAGAACTCTTGAAACGCGTACAATGTGCTATCAATCCAAGTTTCAACGACATATATCTGCTATTGGGCGAACATCTCTCCTTGATATCAAGCGAAAAGGAATTTATTAACATAGACAATCCTGAGTATTCTTTATCCAAAATAGTCGCAATGGATTATTGTGTTGCTCTGCAGGAATTATATTGTGCCTACGAATCAGGTTGTCTTGCCAAAATAGTGATGGATGAAACTCATATTGATTACGATATGATACTATCTGACATCAACTTACAGTGTATGAAATTTAGTCCGGATCATGAAATTATTGCTGCTGTAACAACCACAGGAATTGTAATTACTATGGTATTAAACTTCCAAGTAATGTCAGAGGTAATATTATTTGATTTGAAAAACTTTTATCAGGTTTTATTTGCCATTTTTATCATATGTTTATCTCTCATTTATCTTTGATGTCCCTATAGTTTTGAGTAAAGTTCTGATCTCTTGGAGACAGGCTATTCTATGTGGATTTTAGACAAACTATCCTATGTGGATTTTATTACATTTGTAATTTTTATAGGAAATATTTGTAGTTGCTTATCCATCTTCTCTCTTTTTAATTTTTTCTTTATCTCTCTGCAATCCATTCTTGCTAAATCACTGCCTTTCTCTTTTTCTAATCTTTTTTCTAATCTCCATTCCCTTGTAATCTGTCCTATCACTTAGCTTGTCTCTGATTTTCTTCCTAATCTGTCTGTATTCTATAACTTATTATGTAATTTTTATGTATTCATTCGAGTTGCAGAATATAAGAATAAATGTTACAGAATACAGGACAAATATTTTAGTGTCTTCCAATCTATTATCTATTTCATATGTCTATTTTGGATTCTTTCTATCTTTTCCTTTGACTCTCATATTTCTACTTCTTATCATTCATAGTATATTAAATTATTTTTTCCTCATTCTTTTTAATATTTCTTTGTACTATAGATAAAAGGAAAAGTGTTAAATTCTATCTTCCTTCTTATATTTATGACTAGTATAATTTTTTACTAGTAATAAATATGGTGAATTAAATATAATAAATTAATTTATATATATGTTAAAGTAAATTGTAACTTTATAGGTGGATTTATATTCTGAAGAATTTGGACAGAATGAATTTGTTACTGTTGGTTGGGGTAGAAAAGAAACTCAGTTTCATGGTTCAGTGGGTAAATCAGCGGCTCAAGCTAAACCAATACACTTGATTTCAAACGAGCTTGATGATGGTCGTATTCAAATTGCTTGGCGCGACGATGGTACTTTTTTCGCTATTAGTTTTCTACACAAGAAAACAAAAATTCGAAGATTTAAAATATTCAACAGAGAAGGTATGTTATGCTACACTAGTGAACAAATTAACGGATTGGAGGAATGTATAGCTTGGGGTCCAATGGAACGTCCAATTGCTATACCCCAAATATTAGACGAGAAATATGTTATTGCATTTTTTGAGAAAAACGGTCTTAAATATTCGGAATTATTGCTTCCTTTTAAACCACAAGAAGCGAAGGTATGTTAAATATTAAAATATGATTTTTGAAGATTACGTTGCAAAAAAATTTCATTAAACGACAGATATTTTACAGGTAAGAGAGCTGCTTTGGTCACCATGTTCAGATATTTTGGCTGTTATTTGTTACCAATCAAAAACGAATACTACATTGATACAGTTGTGGACTGAAAATAATTGTCACTGGTATCTTAAGCAAACTCTTGTTTTTACTGAGAAGAATCCACTGCTATATGTAACATGGAGCGATAGGATAAATCAATTTGATGAGAAGGAATTGATTTACTTAACGACAAAAGAACTTACTTTCTGTTCATTTAATTGGTGTGTGAATCATAGTAGGGGCAAGACTGTGGATGATAAAGTTGTGATTGGTGTTATTGATGGAAACAATATTTTAGTTACCGGTTTTAGAAATGGAATAATTCCACCGCCAATGGCGCACCAATATTTGCACACTTCCGAATCACAAAATGCAATTGTTTTTGCACCAGAAATTAATGACAAATCATCTTTGATAAACAGTAATGAATTCTGTACTGTTTCATGTAATAATAAGTTGACGTTTTTCAAGCAGATAAAGGTAATTTGTTTTAATAAAAAATAATGATGTATATAGAATTTATCGCATTATGTAATTCATCATATGTTATAGGAATCCTCCACACTGACATATGAAGTTATAAATTCATATAGTATTGATTTTGGCACATTATACGATATCGAATATGATGTATTAAAAACTAAAGATCTCTATTATTATACGAATAATTTCTTATGGTTTACAAAAGACATTATGTTGTTTTGTACAGTTACAAACAATCATAATCTTTTATGTGTTTTATCTTTAGATAAAGAAAGTTCAAAGGATTATCTGACAATACAGTATGTGGTTTCCTAGATACTAGCAAAATATCAAACCAGCTTCATAAAATTTATAAAATATTTGTCTAAACTTAAATTTTGTTCACAGGAAAACTCATGTTTTGGATTATCCAATAGAACATATAATTTCTTCTTCCGATGCAAATACAGCTTACATAAAAGCAAAGGAACAAATATTTAAATACACACGGGATGGAAAATTTGAACAAACAAATATAACATTAAATAAATTATGCGCTCAAATTGAAATTGTAAAAATTAATTCGGACGACGTGATTCTTGCCCTATCTTTAGAAAATAGTTTTTTTATTAACGGAAAGGAAACTGCTAAGAATATTACAAGTTTTTATGTACATTCTGATTTTGTGATTCTCACAACACTGCAACATACATTGGTTTGTGTTCCGTTAAACGAAGTTGGCTTAAAGCAGTTAAGTGTATATGATTTAACCATTAAACCTTGGTTAAATACTACAGACAAGATGTCACTTACAGGTGAACATATTTTGTAATCTCTTTTATTTTGTGTATATCATTGCTTCTCTAACTTTAAATATATTGTTACAGATATCTATATAAGACGACTCGAAAAGGATTCTCGTATAATAACAGCGATACTACAAGATTCGAAAGTAATTTTGCAAATGCCTAGAGGAAATTTAGAATGTATACAGCCAAGAGCATTATCATTGCATATATTAAAATTTTATCTCGATAACTGTAATTATTTGACGGCACTTGATATCATGACTAAACAACGTATAAACTTAAACTTAATATACGATCACAATCCACAATTATTTATAGATAACGTAAAAAAATTTGTGGAAGATATTGTACAACATAAAAAACTGAATTGGTTGAATCTGTTTTTGTCAGAATTACAAGATGAAAATGTCATCAGTACGATGTACGCTAATTGTTATGTAGATCACATTGTCAAATCTGACATTAAAAGTAACGAAACTAATGATAACAAAATAGTTAATAAGGTAGATAAAATCTGTAAATTATTAAGAGATGTCATGGAGAAACATCATGATGCAGATAATTTAATACAACCAATATTGATAAGTTTGGTAAAAAATCAACAAAGACAGGGCTTGGAAAATGCACTTAGTAAAATAAAGCAAGTCAAAACGTTGGAGGAATCACAAAAATTAACTCTACACAAATCTTCCGTATCTGCCTACGAAGCACTAAAGTATTTACTGCATTTCGTAAATATTGATGTGTTATATGATACTGCATTAGGCATGTATGATTTTGAACTCGCAATGTTTATAGCGTCTAAATCATCGAAAGACCCCAAAGAATATATTCCATTCCTGAACAATTTAAAAAAATTAAACACAAATTACATGAAGTATTCTATTAATGTATATCTTAAACGTTATGAATCAGCATTAGAGTTCTTATCTAAAGAGCCAGCCAAGTTTGAAGAATGTTTAGATTTCATACGTAGTCAAAAGTTGTATAAGACGGCAATGAAATTGTTTGAGAAAAGTACTATAGAGCATAAAAAAGTAGCTGCAATTTATGGAGAATTTTTATCAAATGAACAGAAATATTTCGAAGCTGGTATGATGTTTTATAGAAGTGGCAATCTTGAAAAGGCTTTAGAAACCTTTAGCATGTCAAGTGATAATTGGGAGGACGTAATGGCCATATTAAAAGAAATGAAATTAAGGTAAAAAATATTTTTTATGTACCTCTCATTAGAATTAATCATATTATATATTATCTTGAACTATATAAGGATTAATTTCTTCAGCCCAGTAGATTTACATGAACATTATAAGGTACTAGTTGAACATTTGAAAGCAGGACGTAAATATGAACACGCAGCTATAATATTAAAGGAATATTTAAATGACATCGAAGAAGCAGTTGCAGTATTATGTGAAGGAAAAATCTGGAAACATGCAATACGAATAACGATCGATGTCCAACGTTTAGATTTGAATGGTTAGAAAATGGTTAAATATAAGTATTAATTATTTATAATATATTAAAATTTCAAAAATATGTGGCATACTATCGATTATAAATAATTATATTTATAATGTACTAAAAATATAAGTCAAAATCAAATTACTGTATCTAAATTATTCATTTTTTTTTTTTAATAGAAACACATATTAAACCTGGAGTGAAGGAACATGCAGAACACGTGATTTCACAATTGAGTAAAATGAAGACAGATTTTTTAAGTCATAAATCACGCCTTGCTGTAGTAAGAACAGAAATGAAAGCAAAACAAACACAATTATCACGTGAAAAGATTTATAATGACGAACTAGAATATAATAAAGAAATTCCAGATTCTATCAGTGACACAATCAGTATTGCAGATTCTGTTTCAAGTCGAATGTCGCAATTGTCAATATCTTCTAGGTATTTGTAGTATACGCTTTGTGTGTGTGTGTGTGTGTGTGTGTGTGCGTGCGTGCGTGCGTGCGTGCGTGCGTGCGTGCGTATGCACATATATAAAATAAAATGTGTTTTTCAGCAAAAGCTATCGATCAAGTAAAAATCGTAGAAAACAAGCAAGAAAACTTTTAAATTTAAAGAAAGGCAGTATGTTTGAAGATTTAGGTTTAATACATGCCCTTTATCAAATAATTAGTAATGCATACAAAGATAGAGGTTTGTTTATAGAAGTAATATAAATTTGCATTATCAAATAAAGCTCACAGAAAATCTCTTTAATTAAATATAAAATATAATTAAAATAATTTCAAAATATATAAAAAATAAATAATATATGTATGCTATTTATTTTTAATATATATATTTTAATTATAATAAAAATAATTTTCATCTGCAGACGAATGGTACCAGCTGGTGCAAGTGCTAATACGATTCGAATTAGATGAAAGTGCAGTAAAGATCTTAGTGGAGGAAAAGGAGTTCTTTGAATTAGTGGAAAATAGTAAACCTGAAATTTGGGACAGATCAGCTCCTACAAGTTTAGCTGATATAGTAAGTAATTAAGAGAAAAAATATTCCAGGATTTCCAAATATTACGTTTTACATTTTTTGATTTATTTGTAGGAAAAAAGTGCAATTCATACACAAGCACAACTTCAAGAAATTATTGCACCCATTAAATTAATGGGTAAGTACTCACAAAATACAGTAGATTTCAATTCTTAATATTGAGCATTCATTGACCTTTAATACTTTTTTAGAACGCTATATAATGTTTCCACCTGAAGCTGGTACATCACCACGCGTGCTAAATATTTTTTAAAAACTTTTCAAAAATAAATAAATATTTTTAAAATGTTGCATTAATGTATGAATGTAAGAAAAAAGTTTTACTGTTACATAATAAATATAAGAGATTAATGCAATACAGATAAATTATAGTAATTTAGCCTTTTATTTACAAAGATATGTATATAGAGTTAGTAATTTAATCTATATCATTATTATAATTAAATTTTCAATTAATAAGGCCTAAATATAATAGCCATTTGTATTCGATCTTAAAGTAGAGTCGTGCATATATTAAACATCTAAATTTGGAAGCGTTAAAATTTGGATTGCTTAACGATATAAAATTTTATGTTGCTTCAGGCATGCGCAATACCTATACTAATTATTTTATATACATATTATAGGATATAGTAATATAAAATGTAAAATCAAAGAACATTTCTTTATCACTATATTGATAAAAATTTCCTAAGCAATATATGGTATCTTCAAAAATGATTACACCTCACTTTCGTACACAAATTGTATCCAATTTATATTCCAAAATTAACAATCAAAAGACTTAACGATAGACTCCTATATTATTTAAGATAGACATTTGAGAAAATATGGATATAAAAGTATAAGAAAAAAATGAAATATGTCTTAGAATACTCACATATTTTCATATGATGACATCAAAAGTATCTTTGTAGGACTTATATCAAAATTAAAATATTATTATAATCAGCTAGGAATAAAAACTAAAAGCTTTATTTAATATTTCATTATAAAAGATACGTTTTATGTTTTCCGCTATAATTAGTTTTACTACGGCAGTCCAAAATAAAGTCCATCAGTATTACCCGACTAAATTTTTACTTATAATAACAAACATTTGTATATAAAACTCTAAATACGTCTTTTTGTTTTCGTACGTGACTAAATGAGAATAGATTTTTCAATAAGAAACTTGTACATGCTATGTCCAACTCATACAACATTCATCACTTTATGATAAAGCTTTATTTTATC